ATCATTTCCTCTCAATCAGTAGAAAATATGGTTAACACCCGGTCATGCATGAAAAAAAAATACCGTCAAGTACCGTGAACGGTATAATTTCGAACAATACCGCGATATACATTTTTGGTCATACCGCGCAGCACTACGTTGACACACAGAATTACAGCTGCACACTTTATTTTGACTGTTTTGTGCTGATTTGTTGGTGTTGTGGCTGTGTTGTACAAACTAACCCCATGAGAACTCAACTGAGAGATGTGTGAACATGACAGTTTTCAACAAAAGCCCATTCACAAGCTCAGGTAAGTTAGGCTGGTTTCTGGCAGAGGGAGGTTATGAAAGTGTAGATCACTTACCTCTCTCCAGATGATTACTGAGAGTAACTGAAACACACAGAATCAGGACCAGTGTCGTGAAACATCAGGGCTGTGTCTCAAAAACAAAAGAGAAATGACAGAAACCACGGCCTCACTTTGGTTACCGAGATGCTGTTCAGTGTCTAGTCGGGCAGCTCGCTAGGTTTTGAGACACAGCCCGTGTAAATAACGCTATGTCAGAGGTATTTAAAAAGAGTCGAGCGGATACAAAGACTCAAACCGATTTATTTTGTGCGACAATAGCAAGAATATACTGACGAACCACATGATACTTCCTTGTTACAGACGCACAACCATTAGCCCTGTTGAAATGAATCAACTGTGAAGTCTTACCGAAGCACAGCTCAAAGACATACGCGTAATAAGACCAGAGAACCACAGAGGAGATGATGATAACAGGAATCCAGGAGAAAACCCTCTGACAACATCTGAGAGCTCTGGACAGAGCCATGATCAGCGCGCTCTGCGATCTGCTAGCGCGCCTGCCCGTCCAATCACCTACTAGAAGCGCTCCTCATCTGCTACACGCTAGCCTGGCGATCCGCTCTGGCATCCACTAGTGCGCCTGCTCATCTCCACTACATGATCTGCACTTGATGAATGGCTAGTGTCTGTGGCACAGTAAGTGCACTTAATAGCAGGCCATGGCACTAAATAACTGCGAAATGAATCACTGTGTCACAAGCACACTAAACTCTGCACAATGAGGACAACATCTAATGAATAAAGCTATTTAAATACAATGAGAACTGCAAAAAATATATTATTTTAAAATATAAGTAAACACTTTTTATCTTTATCTTGTATTTATCCGCAGCACCTAAGTTAACACTTATTTGTATTTTTATTTATTTATTTGCATTGTCATAAACACTCCAATTCAATAAGAACATTTTAAAGCATTTTCTTTCTATCTATCTATCTGTCTATCTGTCTATCTATCTATCTATCTGTCTGTCTATCTATCTATCTATCTATCTATCTATCTATCTATCTATCTATCTATCTATCTATCTATCTATCTATCTATCTATCTATCTATCTATCTATCTATCTATCTATCTATCTATCTATCTATCTATCTATCTATCTATCTATCTATCTATCTATCTATCTATCTATCTATCTATCTATCTATCTATCTATCTATCTATCTATCTATCTATCTATCTATCTATCTATCTATCTATCTATCTATCTATCTATCTATCTATCTATCTATCTATCTATCTATCTATCTATCTATCTATCTATCTATCTATCTATCTATCTATCTATCTATCTATCTATCTATCTATCTATCTATCTATCTATCTATCTATCTATCTATCTATCTATCTATCTATCTATCTATCTATCTATCTATCTATCTATCTATCTATCTATCTATCTATCTATCTATCTATCTATCTATCTATCTATCTATCTATCTATCTATCTATCTATCTATCTATCTATCTATCTATCTATCTATCTATCTATCTATCTATCTATCTATCTATCTATCTATCTATCTATCTATCTATCTATCTATCTATCTATCTATCTATCTATCTATCTATCTATCTATCTATCTATCTATCTATCTATCTATCTATCTATCTATCTATCTATCTATCTATCTATCTATCTATCTATCTATCTATCTATCTATCTATCTATCTATCTATCTATCTATCTATCTATCTATCTATCTATCTATCTATCTATCTATCTATCTATCTATCTATCTATCTATCTATCTATCTATCTATCTATCTATCTATCTATCTATCTATCTATCTATCTATCTATCTATCTATCTATCTATCTATCTATCTATCTATCTATCTATCTATCTATCTATCTATCTATCTATCTATCTATCTATCTATCTATCTATCTATCTATCTATCTATCTATCTATCTATCTATCTATCTATCTATCTATCTATCTATCTATCTATCTATCTATCTATCTATCTATCTATCTATCTATCTATCTATCTATCTATCTATCTATCTATCTATCTATCTATCTATCTATCTATCTATCTATCTATCTATCTATCTATCTATCTATCTATCTATCTATCTATCTATCTATCTATCTATCTATCTATCTATCTATCTATCTATCTATCTATCTATCTATCTATCTATCTATCTATCTATCTATCTATCTATCTATCTATCTATCTATCTATCTATCTATCTATCTATCTATCTATCTATCTATCTATCTATCTATCTATCTATCTATCTATCTATCTATCTATCTATCTATCTATCTATCTATCTATCTATCTATCTATCTATCTATCTATCTATCTATCTATCTATCTATCTATCTATCTATCTATCTATCTATCTATCTATCTATCTATCTATCTATCTATCTATCTATCTATCTATCTATCTATCTATCTATCTATCTATCTATCTATCTATCTATCTATCTATCTATCTATCTATCTATCTATCTATCTATCTATCTATCTATCTATCTATCTATCTATCTATCTATCTATCTATCTATCTATCTATCTATCTATCTATCTATCTATCTATCTATCTATCTATCTATCTATCTATCTATCTATCTATCTATCTATCTATCTATCTATCTATCTATCTATCTATCTATCTATCTATCTATCTATCTATCTATCTATCTATCTATCTATCTATCTATCTATCTATCTATCTATCTATCTATCTATCTATCTATCTATCTATCTATCTATCTATCTATCTATCTATCTATCTATCTATCTATCTATCTATCTATCTATCTATCTATCTATCTATCTATCTATCTATCTATCTATCTATCTATCTATCTATCTATCTATCTATCTATCTATCTATCTATCTATCTATCTATCTATCTATCTATCTATCTATCTATCTATCTATCTATCTATCTATCTATCTATCTATCTATCTATCTATCTATCTATCTATCTATCTATCTATCTATCTATCTATCTATCTATCTATCTATCTATCTATCTATCTATCTATCTATCTATCTATCTATCTATCTATCTATCTATCTATCTATCTATCTATCTATCTATCTATCTATCTATCTATCTATCTATCTATCTATCTATCTATCTATCTATCTATCTATCTATCTATCTATCTATCTATCTATCTATCTATCTATCTATCTATCTATCTATCTATCTATCTATCTATCTATCTATCTATCTATCTATCTATCTATCTATCTATCTATCTATCTATCTATCTATCTATCTATCTATCTATCTATCTATCTATCTATCTATCTATCTATCTATCTATCTATCTATCTATCTATCTATCTATCTATCTATCTATCTATCTATCTATCTATCTATCTATCTATCTAATCTGTTAAATTATTTAGTTTCTGTATTTTTTTAGTTATTTAACTGTACACATGATGCTCCACTTTCCAAACTGTATGTTTATAAACTGTTATATATATAGAAATATGTTTTAAAGTTTAATATATTTTACAGCTTGTTGCACATTTCAAACTGTGTAGATGTTGCTTGGAAAATCATTCATTACATCTTATAAAACGCAAGATATGTTGAACTGACACGACAGAAATAAGAAAAATATTGATTGTTTTGTGTCATGCAATTATGAATAAACAACATAAATGATGCAAGCAAAGCAACATTTTTTCAGTTTTTCACAACTGAAAAGATGTCATTTTCTATCATTTGCGTGATGAAAATATTATCCATTATTATCCATCTATAAACTTTATTTTTTTTACTGTATACTTTACTATAATCTATGGTGATAATGTGAATTATTACTTTTGTTTTGATATGACTATAATATATTCACTGCCCTCACAAATGTGCAGAGTTGTGATGTGAACTTCTTTTTGTTTCTGAAAAAAATTAAATAAATAAAACAACAGTTACAGCCCTTATGTGAATGAGTGAATGAGAACATCATATGAATTATTAATCAAATGCAGTGGTTCTAAAAATAGTCTTCATTATTTTTCTTTGTCCAGTAGGTGTCGCTACAAGACTGTTGGACATTAGATTACAGTTTTTACACTTGATCAGGCACGATTTAAAAACAAGGCTCATTTTGTCAAAACACTACATGGTTTACACATCTACACACACACACTTAGCAGAACATCTCAGATCTTTTGCAAAATCAAACACTTCATTCAAAACTTCACAATAATTGAACAAAACCCAGTTTCATCTGTATGTGATGTTTTTTAAAGATGCAGTGTTGATAGAGAGACCTGATGGACATTATTAAAAACCCTGTGGTCCTTCAGAATGCTTGTCTGGATTTCTCCGAGACGCATCGCATTATTGGCCATGTTTATGATAGCTCGCTCTCTTGTTCCTCTGTGAATATGGGGCCCCTTCCTCTACGTTCTTGACCCTCAATCCTATAATCAATCAAAATACATGTTACTGTAAATGTCACAGGACAGCACACAAACATGGTTTCAAACACACAACACAGTGAATGGTACCAGACAGTACCGATGGAGGGCATATAGTAGGCTATATTGTACTATAGACAGTAGAAATGTCTGAATTACTGTAGCAACAGTATATCTGCTGAAGTTGGTCTGAACTCTCTCTCTCTCTCTCAGTCTCAACCCATGGTTTACAACATGGTCAACCAAGGTTGCTCGAACCGCATCAGAGAAATTTGGTCCCCGTCTTCTTTGTCCATGTCCTCCTCCAGGTCTATCTCTTCCTCTTCCTCCACGGACTCCCCCTCGCATCTTCACTCTTCCTCTTCCTCTGACGTTGCCTTCCATTTTTGTTGAAGACAGGTAAACTCACCTGTTGCCTTTTTATAGTGCTTACAGCAATTGCTGAGTTTACAATTAAGCGCCTAAGTGTCTGCACACATGAAGGCCGTGTTTGATCAGTTGGTTCATATCTGTGTAGAATTTTGAAAAGCAGTGCCTTAAAATGACAAAGACGTGACATCATGTTAGATTTCTGTGTCTAATGTAGAGCAGTGTGTTTAGTGTTTTGCAAAAAGTGTTTGCAAAAAGAGGCTGAGAATGTGCTTAGTTGTGCAGATTTGGGCTGAAGTTTTGATCTTTGAGTGTCAGGTTTTTTAGCGTGTAAGCAATCGTAAACAAATGTAATATCCAACATAATTCCTCTGTTCACAGTATTAGATATTAGCTGCATTAAGACATTTTTGTTGCACCTATTGGCACACACACACACACACACACACACACACACACAGAGAGCCACACACACACACACACACACACACACACACACACACACACACACACACACAGAGTCACACAGAGTCA